CATGCGGGGCTCCAACCCAGGAACCCTGAGATCATGACCTGAGCGGAATTCAGAAGTCAGATGCTTAACCAACTGAGCCACCCAGGCGCCCCAGCTTCCCTCAGATTCTTCAAGGTGTCTAGTAGACCCCTGATGAGACTCAGAACCGGTGTGATGTTGGTTTTCCCTTCAAATTTTGCCTCTTTGTCTTCGAAACGTGGCACAAAAGGCTTTAACCTTTTTCTGTCTGCTTAGGGTTTTGTATTTGCCCAGAGGACCCCAGGTAGGAGAGGGGCGCCGCATGGCAAGGGCAGTAGCCTCCTGGGACACACTGGGGCCCACACTCCGCGGTTATCGGCTGTGGGGTCTTCGGGCTCGCCCACCAGCCTTTGGCCACGAGGCCTATGTACCAATGGCCCTCGACCTCCACAGGCCCTAAAACATCCTTCCCCACGCCTGCGGATCTGCACCCTTCCGGCTGCTCAGCGAGCGCAGTCTCCGCAGGAAGGGGCGGGCACTGCCGGTGGCTTTGCTAGGGCCCCGCGTTGCCATAGCGACCCCAGCCGGGCCAGGGACGCCTAGGCGCGAGCTGCACTCGGCGACTGAAGCTGGAGGCTGAGACCCCACCGCTCTCGCCCCCGGGGCTGAGGATCCAGGTTCCGCCTCGCAGGTGAGCTGGCGCAGGTGAGTGGGGTGGGTGCTCGGGACGGACCCTCAGCCATCTGGGCGCCGCCCCTCCACCTTCCGTTGTAGTTTATTGCGATTTAGTATACAAACTACGGGGCAGAGTCCGCGCACCGCCTCATAAGGCTTCCTTCCCCTGTCAGTGGCTCACATATTAAGACCGCAACCTCCTCTTGAGTTGAACCTGTGTTCCCGAGAAAGTGTGGGACAGAGGATGATTTTATACTACACTGATGTGGCATTAAGTAACACCCAGTGACATCGTAAAAAAGTTATTAGGTTCTAGGTTCTCTTACACTTCTGAGTAAGCCAAGGAGAAAGTGTCAGTTTGGGGGTAATATGACACTACCAACTTTCTGAACATTTGCTAAACTCAACTTCAGTAAGCCACAATATCTAGCTAAGACTTAAGTTGGTTTCTTTATAGTATTTCAATTTTTACAGTACCTTCCCCTTAGGGTATCTGACGCTCCTTTTCCATTTATAGTAATGACATGTGAAGTCTCTTTCTTCACATGATAAATACATTGATTTTTAAAAGTGAATTAATTTACATGTAAAAATCCATCATCATACAGGTGGTACTAGGAAATGGGAGGGGGAAAAACACATTAAATTTAAGGCCTGAGACTGTTTACTCCCTCCCAGCTTTTGCCCTTGCTGTTTTCTTTACCAGGAGGGACTTACCCTGTTCCTAGGCACGATTGTCAAAATAAATGCCAGCCTGTGTGCTTAGTCAGCCTGGTCAGACTCCTGGAGACCCTGCTGTAGCCCAACAGAAGGAACTTCTTGATGTGTGGGCCCAGTGCAAAATGGAAAAGGGGGCCCTCACCCACAAAATATTAAGAATTAAAAAACAGTGGGGCACCTGGGTGGCTCAGTCGGTTGGGTGACCGACTTCGGCTCAGGTCATGATCTCACAGTTTGTGAGTTCAAGCCCCGCGACGGGCTCTGTGCTGACAGCTCGGAGCCTGGAGCCTGCTTTGGATTCTGTGTCTCCCCCTCTCTCTACCTCTCCCCTGCTCACACTCTGTCTCTCTGTATCTCAATAATAAATAAACGTTTAAAAAAATTTTTTTAAATAGAATTAAAAAACAGTGACATCAAAGGAATAAACCAAGCACAGGCCCTTCTAAGGGTGGGCCCTGTTCGACTGCACAGGTTGCATACCCACAGGTTGCTGGCTGTGGGTGGTTGGATGCTTGAGATACCATGACCTCCTGAAACCTGCTCAGCCCAGAGGTCATTCTAATTGGTCAGTACCTATCAGGATATTGGTTAAATATTTCACTCTAGCCCCTTCTGCCAGCTCCACTGGCACGTGTGAGTATTGCCCAAACCCATGGAGCAGGATAGATGGTATTTGCTGAGGGGAAACAGATCCCCTGATTGGGAGGAGACCATCTTTATCACCTTGCACAAGCTGCGCCGAGACGCACAGATAGACATGAATGTCCTCACTGGAGATCTTGAGGACATGAAGAGCACAGGTGGCGGGGTCCCAGACTACAGAGAGACCTTAGACCACCCAGAGATTCCCTGCAACCCCATCAGGCGTGGCAGGAAGGAGAGCCCTGGTCTGATGGGAAAACCTAAGCAGGTAATAAGGCAGACAAGTAGAATATCCGGGCAGAGGGCAGAGGTCATAGATAAAAGGATGACCATCCATCCTGGTGTGCCTGGGATCAGCCCAGTTTTGGCACTGAAATCCAAATTCCTAGGAAACCCCGCAATCCTAGGCAAACCCGGACAGTTGGTCACCCGAGATGTAGTATCCTTAGTTGGTGGGCTTTCCTGACCACTTCAAAAGCCAGGCCCTGAGCCTTTCCAGTACCTGCTAACAGATAAGGCAGGACCAAAAGAACTACAGTATTGGGTGCTGGGTGCAGAGAAGGTGTCCCTGTGGGCTCTGCTACAGCATCTGTCTGCCAGCCCAGAGTGGCCTGGCTAGCTCTTCTCCCCCCAACTCTCCCTGAGTGAATCCCACTGCTCACCACTGGGAGCTCCAGGCCAGGCTCTAGACTTAGGACCAGCATCCACTCTGACTGGTCATATTGGTTATTAAATATGTGACTTTCAACCATCGGTGGGGGACAGCTTTGTCATCACAAACCCCCCTGCTCTACTGGTTTCCCTGGGTTCCCAAGCAATTGTGCCATCAGACCCACCTCAGGGAGGCCCTAGAGATGCAAAGGAGATGACAGACACAGGCCAGTCTAGTGCAGAAGGATCCCCCCCAAATGGCTGCTCATCTGCCCGGGGACTCCAAATACACATGACTCACACCATTTGGGCTCAGACAAGTGCCTCCTCAGGAAGCCCCGGGATCCTGGCATTACTAGGGACACACTGAGCCCCTGATGTCCCTAACCCTTTGCCAGCACCTCTGGTCCCACAGAAGCAGCCAACATGCCTAACTCCAAGTGCCTGCAAAAGTCGGAGCCCCTGTGGAAGGAGTGGGACCAGAAGGCCCAAAAGAATGGACTGAGGCACCAGGTGAATGCTGTCAATGGTGACTGCTATGTGGGCCAATGGAAGGACAACATGAAACATGGTGAGTGGGGGATCTTCAGGGGCTTGGGAGTATGGAGTCTGGGCCATGGTGGGTGATGGGGGCCAAGGAAGTAGCTGGCAGAGCTTGTCAGGGACGTAAGATATCATAAGACATGTCACCAAGGCTCCCCCAGGGAGTAAATGCTGCTGACCTGGACCAGCTGGGGGCCTCCACAGCTTGGGGCTCTGGAACCAAACTCAACCCTGACTTTAGATGACCAGGGACCAGCGCGGGACAAAGTGGTCTTGAGATACCAACCATAACCACAGCCTGGGTTCTAGGAACTCCAGCATAGTCCTTACCCTCTGAGACCTGGGCTAAGTTGGGCCTGGTTAGCAGGAGGAAAAGGAGCCCCCCAAACCACTTGCAGTGGCGATTCAAAGAGCTCTGATGTGGGGGTCTGACCAGTAATGAGTGAGAGAGGACACACACACACAAGCACATACACACACAACTAGCTGGGGCTTCAAATTTAACTGTAGCTTTAACCAGCAAACAGCATGGGGGTCCTTGTGGTACAAAATCAGCCCTGAAGAAAATCAAGTGTTTTTAAGTTTTATTTATTTAGGGGCACCTAGATGGTTCAGTTGGTAGAGCATGTGACTCTTTTT